GAAAACTCTCTCTCTCTCTCTCTCTCTCTCTCTCTCTCTCTCTCTCTCTCTCACACACACACACACACACACACACACACACACACACATGTTGTGTTCGATTGATTCACAACTCGAACCCGCATTCAAATGTTCCCATACACATCTGCAATGACAGGCAGACTGGAGAGAGCAGATTCACAACATAGGCATGGAGATACACTGCACAGCAGAAGCCAAAGCCAGATATAAAAATTGAGAGAAAAATGTTTCAATCAATTATTTATTACACCCCCTGCTCTCCTCCTGTCAACCAAACAACTCCAAGAATCTCAACCACAAAATCTGTTCCACCTCCAATTAACCCCCGACAATACACTTCAACGAACTTTCAGTGAAGTTTCCCCTTCTCCCTACGACCCCCAGCCTCCAATGATAGCCCACTGTTGAAAACAGCATCCCATCATGCCCCGAGCCTGTGAGTACCGGCGCTGATCTGGCATGAGCCAGATATCGAGTCACAGCACCGCAAACCACCGTGAAGAAGAAGGTGAACCTCAATGAAGAAGATGATGGCTGCCCTGGTATGGCAACAACCAGCAACAAGCAAGCCGCTCAAGGAAGAAAGCAGCTGTTCTTCAACCCCACAAAGAGCAGAGTGATGGCAGTGGGATCAGAACCTGGAAAACCTACTACAGGTGCTGCCTCCTCAAGCAGCAGGGCGGCCCAGCTATGGATGCCCAAGTTCCCCTTCGAAGAGGAAGAAGACTGAGCGCTGGAAATAGTGCCACTCGCGTACTCCCATCGCCACTTCCAAAAAAATGAGAAAAGAACCCCAAACTTGTCGGCCTCTCCCTTCTTCTACCCAACTTCCCTAGACCTACAACACAGCAGTCACTAAACAGCAAACATCTACGGCCAAACAGCCAAGATCTGCCTACATGCATCTGGATGGAAATCTAGACTACAGGGACCCAAGACTAGGACACACAAACGAGAGACCTACGGGCCTACCAGTTTCCAGAAGAGCAGAAAAGGACAAAACAGCAAGACCTGAAGGGTCTAAGACTGCCAAATAGACACTACCAGCGACAGGGTCACGGATCAAGCCCAGCAGGACTCGAAGCTAGTAATCAACACAAACAAACTGTAGGTCACAGGATCAAGTCCCGAAGGGCTCAGAATAGGCAACAGCAGACAAACTTAGTGTACAGCCCGCGTGAGCAACTGCAATTCATTGCGCACACACACACACACACACACACACACACACACACACACGAACAAACAGGTGTGGCAGTGCATTTCCATGTTCTAAAGGAAGATTCATTCGATTTTGCTCACCCTATCGATGGAAGTAGCGTGATGCCAGCCGCGAGGTTGGAGACTTACGTG